CTGATATGTGCATACCTGTAGAGGTCAACTTAAAAAGCACATAGCAAATAAGAGCCAAAACACCCTTATGTTGGGGTAGGGTCTCCCTGTCTTATTTTGTCAGGAGCTAGGGTTTCACTACGTACGCAGCGGTTTCAAACAACCTACAATTGCGTAAGCAACCTGTCCTAGATTGGAATAGTCACTATGGATTCCGAATATGCACTAGATCGAATGGTCAAAAGGGTGCCTCGGTTAAAACCGAGGTTTCTGTTCCCATCGTGGCAGAGCCTGCAACCGGTCAGCCTTATGGCACGCTTCTCAAAACGGGCCTCCGGCAAACCGTTCAGGAATAGCATACGGAAAACACGGTGTCCTAGGCGCACCAATGCAAATGCAATGCAAAGAAACACGTAAGTGTGATCAAAACAAGATATCATGAGTTCAAGTCAAGTTCTCTAACTCCCCAACAGAGTCGCCAGAAACTGTAGACACGCCCTTGGGCTTTATGTTTCTACAGTTCGGACTCAAATTGTCACGGTTCTGAATCTAATCCTGCAAAGTGCAATGCGAGACCGATAAATCACCAAAGAGTCCAAATCCGGCAAATCGTTTTGGAAAACTGATTTTTAAGAAAGAAGTGCCAAACATGGACTGCTTTTCCAGATACAGAGTCACCACCTAAATATTTATTTCGGGGGAATTTAGGAAACCCTGACTCGTTGCCTAAGGCCATGTGTCCGTCATCACCAAAGTTGCCTCGGCTTGGGAACTTGGGTACGATTGGGGAAGGTCATCTATGAGCACCCCCGCTCACCCAATCCGAAGATCGACCTGTACTAAGCATGATATCTTGTTTTAAAAACATATGCGTTCTTTTTCCGGTTAATTAGCTATAATTACTACGTGATACACACAACACACAAATATAGACTAGATCGCCTAATTTGGAACAAAGCATCGTATATCCGTTTGTTTGGAAATGGTTTGAAGTTCGCTACTTGTAAGTAGGCTAAAACACAGATTTCGATGAATTATTCCAATTCAAGCAATCCAACCTTCACCCACAGGTATTCAGGCAGTTATATCATATAAGAAAATAGCCTCATGGTAAGCATGCTTTTATGTTAACACTCACATACATGCAAGATGCTAAAGCATAAACACTCACAGTGTACTCCGAGCCAAAACAAAGAACTAGTTAGAAATCATGCGTGATTCTACTTCATGTTAGCAATGGTTAATGCAACGCATACGGAATGCAATTTAGAGTAGGCTCGGCTATCCTAAGGATGGCATGTGAAATGCGATAACTCGATACACGTATTCAACTTGGTATTGAAACACAATGCAGTTAGTATGATGCGCCGAGCCCGGTGCAAGCAATACGGATGAATGATGCAAACATGCATAGCATAAGGATGCTAAATGAAACGTGCCCTAAACTAACCATCGAAAGATAGTAAATAGAAAGGAGAAAGATGTGGGGTTGGAAGACATGCACACACGCACGCACACTTATTACACAATTGCGCCCTCTCTCGAGAGTGACCGAAAGAATAATACAAATTAATTAACTAACAAGCTAATTAAATATTACACAATACTTAATTAATTAAATGAATTAATTAAGCTAGGAAAGCATTAAAGAGGCCTCGGGAAGAGGGATGAATGCGTGCACGCTCGGCTCCACCCGGAAATCCATCACAATACTCATGCTGCCTCTGTTTACACTGTTCTACACCTCTGAAAACTTTGCAAGTCCTAAAGATGCTTCTGAACCACCTTCTGAGCACTGTGGGATGTCACCGACTGAAATTAAGAGCCACTGGCCAAGAGGAACTGATCATTGACCATTTGTGAAGCTCTCGGCCAACAAAGCATAGCCGGCCGGCACTGAATATGGCCGACCGGGCATCTCTTCCTGCAGAATCCTATTTTGCTGCAGAAGAGGACAGACAGAGCATGGCAATTCATTTTCAAGGCAATGTGTGCACAACTATCCTTCCTATCATGCCATAAGCTCAAGTAAGTATGGCTCTCGACCCTCGGGCCACCAATTACGCATTTCGATGCATAATGGCCAAAGGTGTCAAAGGTGCATATCAATATGGAATGAATGCAACAAACAAATGAATGCTTCACACTCTATCATGTTGGGTCAAGAGTGTCGGCGACCGAGGATTGAGGCACGTTCCATCACTTCAAGTATGAAACGTCCCTTGATCCTCATGTTTGGTTTGACACCCTGAACCAAACAAAATGCAATGCATGTATACCAAATGCAATGCGAAACATGCAATTAATGCAATGCAACATGAATGATGCAACTTAATAGGTAAGCAACATGGTAATACAATGGGTACGCAATACTACAATGCAACCTAGGTATGTAAGCATACAAAGTGATGGGCATGCAACAATGACACCAACCACAAGGATGCGACAACATGCAATGCGGTAAACTTACAACAATACACAAGTGCATAATCCATGGACTTACACTAAGGATGGATAGGCCTCATCCGTACCAAAACAGTGGCAAAATGCTAAAGGACAAAGGACAAGATCACATACAAACCTGCATGATAAGTGGCCCAACACTTAAGCATCAAAGGGCAACTTTTGAGCACACTTAAAAAGCGACAAACATGGACATATGACAAACATGTTAAGCTCTGAAAACATGCTAGGAATGATGCCAAACCAACTAAACAAAGTAAGCAAAGCATGCAAGAGAGCCTAAAGCTTGAAGCTAGCCGAAGGACTTGAACCAAGACTACATGAAGCAAGCCCCAAAGGGGCAAGGGGACCTAAAACAGTCCCAAGGTAGGTCTAAACAAGACCAAAAGTGAGCTTAAAACTAGCCAACACAAGCTAGGACATGATGTCAAAAATATGAGGCATGCAAGGCTACCGAAGAGGCATTACACTACACCTAATACAACCAAACATGGCATAATTTAGGCAATCAAAATGTGAGGTATGACATGTCAAAATGAGCCCAAAAAACCCACTTAGATGTCATCCCAAATACCCAAGCATGTTGGCATACGCAATGTCACATTCATGAAGCATAAACACAAACTCTTTAAAACATTAAAGGAGCAATATGTGCAAGTATTCAAGCATGCTATATGGACTGAAATAACATTATAAGTAATGCCAAACCACTGAAATGATTCAAATAGAGCATGCTAACGACTTGAGCACCCGAAGCTAACAAGCTTGATTACATGGTAGCTATACAAGACAATGCAAGCATGGCCAAAACAATGAAAAATAGAGCATAAGCATGCTACAACAAGCCTAACAGCTTCATGGAGTTGGGCCAAAACATGCAAGCACGGTAGTCTAAATGCTAGGTGCATGTTAAGGCAAATCATGGGATTACAAGACAAGTATACAAAGCATGCATGGTATGTCTAAACCAAGGCAAAATAGTTCTATATCATGGCAAAACAAAGCCTAATATAAACTGAAATGAAGCTAAAACAAGCTAGGCATACATGCCACAAACATAAGCCATTTATGTAAGCATAAAAGATAACAAGGAGAGGGGATGACCCTCTCCTATTTGGGACATCAAAACCACCTCTCCACCACTGAAAATCCTCTAGATTTCAGTGGTAGAGAGGTCATGCAAAGCCTAAAGCAAGGGCCAAAAGAGGTGGCCTAAAACAAGGCCTAACAAGGCCTAAGAGGAGGGAAACAACCCCAAACCTCAAAGAGACCTTAAACAAAGATCAAAAGCATGCAAAATCAAAACTTTTATCAGTTATAAGTTAAGCTCAAAACAGCATGCAAGATAGGCTAAAAACTTGTGCAAAAATGGGGAAAAAAGAGGGTAGTTTCTCACCCTTGGAGAACCTCTTCAAGAACACAACTCCAGCAGGTTTTTTGAGTTCAAACCAAGCCAAGAACACTGAAATCAACCTCCTAGCACCTCAGCAATCAAGGATGGTGTTCTAGTGTGTGTTTGTGTACAATAGTAAGACAATACTACACTTTTGGACACAAAACAAGGCTAAACAAGGAAGTATAGATACAAGGCTATCTCTGTCCTCTCCAGCCCTATTTGTCTTAACCTTGGAGGAGGGAGGAGGAGCTCCATCTTTATAGAGGCTCAAATTCTAAGGCTTCTAAGAGAAGCGAAGCAAAGAGCAAATCCCTTCATACACGTGTATGAGGGGGTTAATTGTGGATGCTAGCTGCACCAGCTGGCATAAAATATCTGCATAAAGCAGATGAACAGGGTTCGGCCACGAAAAATGGCCGATTGACCAACATAATAGCCGGCCGACCAAATATAGTGCCGATCGGCCAACACTCTTGGCCGATGGCAAGAAAAAGGGGCCGATGGCCTCATGCCTTGGCCGGTGGGGTGTAGGGATGGCCAACAAGCCACCCTCTTCCCTTAGAAGAAAAAACACAAGTGTTTGGTCCATGACCAAGCACAAAACAGATAAGTTAAGAGATCTTAAGGCAAGGCACCTAGTCGGGACCTCCGAGAACTCAAAACGAACACGAGCATGGATGATCATCGAGTGTTCAAACGATGACGTCCAAGTCTTGAGGACGGTCAAAAATGGGGTGTCTACACACCTCAGTGGATTTTGAGCCTTTGAAAATCCTGCAGTTTCTCTCAGTCCAAATACAATAAACAGAACAAGTAAACACAAGTTTAGAAATAATGGCAGCCAAAGATTTGCCCTTGATATTCCTGGTTAGCCAATCCACCAAATCTGTCCAGTCAAGATAAGGAACAGTCAAATTGCACATACCCTGCATAACTTCCAGACTCTGTAAGAGAATGGACATTTAAAGAACAAGTGATTATGATCCTCTGGCCCGACCCTACAGAGACAGCAAATAGCAGAGTTGCTAGAACCAAAGACAGCAAGCCTATCAAGAGTGTTCAGTCTATTATGGATAGCAACCCAGACCACAGTACTTATTCTAAGAATATGAAACTTGAACCACAGGATCTTAGCCCAAGCAACTCTAGAACCATGGGTCCTTCACTTGTCCCAAGCAGACTTAATGGAAAATTTCCCATCAGAAGATGGTAGCCACACTACCTTATCATTCACTAAAGAAGGCTTCATATCCGCCGGGACAACAACCTTAATCTTATTCAACTCCCAAGTACGACACACAGGCCATTTCCACCTAGTGCCATAGATAACAGACTCCACTTTAGCAAACTTTTGAATCCCAGAGTCAAATATAACTCTTTCTCCAAATCTATTAAAAACAGGCCCAAGAGGGAGCCAGTTGTCAAACCACAAGAAAGTTGCCTTCCCATTACCAACATTATATTTAATTAGGGGAGCAATAATACTCCTCAAATCAAGAAGCTTTCTCTAGACCCAGGAAGGGTCACTAGGAACTTTGAGGCACCAAAAACTTCTACCCTTTAACAAGTAAGACTTAACCAATTGACACCACATGGATTGCTCACCCCCTGACATCAAAAACCAAACATGCACGGCAATAGCAACTTTATTTCACACCTCAATAGATTTAAACCCTAGACCACCCTCATTCCAAGGAACACAAAGATGCACCCAAGCAACTTTTGCTCCATTCTTTTTCGAATCAGGACCATTCCAAAAGGAAGCCCTCAAACAAGATTCAGTCTCCTTTACCACTTTCTTAGGGAGAATGGATAACGAAGCCCAATAAACCTGCATAGAGAACAAGATAAATTTAATCAATTGGGCTCTCCCTGCATAAGACAACACTTTATTGGTCCACAATTGAATCCTCTTGGTAATCCTAGCCACCAATTGATCACAATCTATTTTACGCAGCTTAGTTGAGATAAGAGGAACCCCCAAATGCCACACAGGAAGGTTCCCCTCTTTAAAATCCATAATGGAGAGTAACTTAGCCTTTAAGTGACAATCCATCCCTGTAAAAAACATATGACTCTTAGGAGGGCTGGGGGACTGACCAGAGAGCCCTTGGAATTCATCAAGAGCCTCCTTGATAAGAGACACAGAACTAATGTCCCCTCTACAAAAAATCTCGAAGTCATCAGCAAAACAAAGATTAATAATTTTGTTCTTCTCACACCTCCAGTGGAACTTAAAATCAGGACTCTCAGCTTTCTCAGCCAACAGCCTATCTAAAACCTCCATAACAATAACAAACAGGTAAGGGGAAATAGGGTCCCCTTGTCTAAGCCCTCTAGCACCCCGAAAATAGCCACAAAGCTCCCCATTAATACAGATCGAGAAAGAAGGACTAGTAATGCAAGCCCTAATCCAACCAATCATGCTACTATGGAAGCCCATACCAGCAAGAGTATCAAAAATGAAATCCCACCTCACATTATCATAGGCTTTCATGATATTAAACTTCATCGCACACCTAGGAGACCCAGAACCTCTATGATAACCTCTCATCAATTCCTGGGAAAGGAAAATATTATCCGAAATCCTCCTCCCTTGAACAAAAGCAGACTGGACTGAATCAATAACATCAGGGAGGACCTTCTTAATCCTATTTGCCAAAATTTTAGCAATACACTTATACACCGTGTTACAACAAGAAATAGGTCTATAGTCACCCACCTTGCTAGGATTTGGAACCTTTGGAACAAGAGCAATAGCGGTACTATTAACCTCTTTAAGAAGTTCACTTGAATGGAAGAATGACTTAATAGCCTGAATAACGTCCTTACCAACCACATCCCAGGAACTCTTGAAAAAACTAGCCGGGTAACCATCAGGCCCAGGAGCTTTATTACTATTAAGAGATCGAAAAACACTCTCAATCTCACACTCCAAATCATCAGCAGTCAACTCCTCCACTTGAGCAGGAGAGAGCTTCCTCTTAATAAGCTCCTCGACTTTAGACCCACCACTGTACCTATTAATAAATGGCTTCCCCAAAAACCCCTCAAAATAAGAAACAAAAGCAGATTTGACATCATGCGGATCAACAATAATGCTCCCATCATCCAGCGTAACACTACTAATCCTGCTACGGTTTCTATTATCATTAATAGAACGGAAACAGAATCAACTATTACTATCACCCAAGCTAAGCCATTGAATTCTCGATTTCTGGGCAGCAAATGACTCCTTCTCTTTGCAAAGTTTAGCAAATTAGCACAAAGATCCCTCTCAAGGGATTGCAGATTAGAGTCACCCATATTTTTATCAAGTTGAAGCTGAACTCTATCTAGATCCTCTTTGGCACAAGAAGTTCTCACCGAGACGTCACTAAAATGCTTCTTATTGAGAGCTTTAAGCTCAGGCTTTAAAGACCTAAGCTTACTGCAAATCCTAAACAAGGGAGAACCTTTGACATACTTACACCAAACACCCCTAACCACAGGTATAAAATCCGGATGATTAGCCCACATGTTAAAAAATTTAAATGGCGTACACACCCTGTGAATTTTCAAAGGCACAGTAACAATACAAGGAGAGTGATCAGAGGTCCCAGAAGGATGGAAGTAAGCATGGGAGTGAGGCAAATTATTGAGCCACAACCCATTAACCAACGCCCTATCAATCTTAGATGAAATAAATCTATCCTCACACTGTTTGTTAGCCCAAGTAAACTGGCAACCCCCATAGTTCAAGTCATCAAGCTCAGATTGATTAATAAACAAATTGAATTCATTTTTACAAGACGACCAACTATGGTCCCCTTCCACTTTCTCATATGGGAACCTAATAGCATTGAAATCCCCTAAGAGAATACAAGGAAAGTCTCTATACAATTGAGCCAAAACCTCCAACTTATTAAATAGCGGCCTCCTCGAGCCATACATATACACAAAACCGGCAAAAAAGTGAATATCCCCATTTAAAACTTTAATTTTACACCACATGTGTTGGTCAGAGCTATCCAGGACATCAACAGTACAAAAAGCAGGATTCCAACAAACCCAAATCCTCCCCAAAATAGCATGCTCATAGTTAGACAAACTTACCCAATCATGCAAAACTTGGTTAAGAATTCTAACATGATTACTATCAATCACTTTAGTTTTAAGCAAACCAACAATATTAATGTCCTCCTTCTTCAAAAACTTAGCAACTTCTCTTTGCCTACTAGGATCATTTAGACCCCTAATATTCTAAGCACAAATCTTTGTAGACATAAAGAAATATATACAAACAGATCACACACACAACACTATGGGGATAGCACATGAAGTCAGGATTTACCTCTTTTTCTTCCTACGACTACTAGAAGAACCAGTAGCCTTAGGAGCACAAGGTTTAGCAGCACTTCTCAACATCCTTTGAGTCAACATTACTCTATCAGCCACTTCCTCCTCCAAGCTTAAAGAATTTGCTTGGATTTCAGGATCAGGTTCTGAAGGATCCAATATAGATTCGGGCTCCTCAGACCCAGCTTTCACAATCTCTGATAATGAACCAGTAATTGCAACCTCTTGAACCTCACAAACATCCTGATCCCTATGTCGCCTTGCAACATCAGTGACCTCAATTGAGGCAGCTATCTCAACCTCGTATAATATACCAGTAACTGGGACCTCTTGAACCCCACAATCAACCTAACCCTCATCTTGCCTTGCTATATCAGAGATCTCACTTGAGGGTTCACCCTCCTTCCTTTTACCTTTAGCTACAATTGTCTTCCATTCCTCATCACTATTCTGAACCTGTTGTTCTATAGAACTCTGAACAATATTTTCCACTTGAGTTCTGATACATCTATCATCAGCATGACCAAAAACCTTACATTTAGTAGGCTTCAACAGATACTCCACCCTCACTTCAATACTTGTACCCTCACATTTTATAAGGAAATCAGTGGGCAAAATGGAATCAATTCCAATCTCTACACAAACTTTTGCAAATGATACCCTATCTTCATAAGCAGTTAATATATCCATGTAGAGAGGCTCACCAATAACACTAGCTATCCTACTCAGACCATCCTCATCCCAATACTCCATAGGAACATTAAACAGTTTAACCCAGATGGGTATTTTATCCAGCTGGTCCTTAGATAATTTCATCATGCTATGTCATTTCTTGAGCACAATAAAATGTCCACCAATGAACCGAGGGTCATCCTCTAAAACAGCAGTACTACTATCAATTGTATCAAACATAAAGCAGCCAAACCCATTAGCAGTAGACAGCACCGACTTCTAACCGTTATTTTTCCATAAATTAGAGGCCTGTGCCCTAATGTATGTAATATTCATATTTTTGGCCAAAAAATGGCCCACGAGAGTGGCTTCCCATTTTTCAATATCATCCTTTTTAGGGAGATCAATAACTATGTCATTGTCCAATACAGAGGGAGGAAAGTACCTTAACTTCATAGATGGCCTCTGATTAGATGCAACAATAGATGCCCAACTCTTTTCAGCAGGTTTAGGTGCTGTCCCCTCCCCCACCATTGCTGAAAATTCATTCGGTCCACCTGGGTAAGGGCCCTGACCCCGACCTCCTCGGCCTCCCCTACTGGTAGCAGAAAATCCCGATCTACCTCCCCTCCATTGACCCCTATAACTTTGAGCCCCTGAAGCCCATGGAATATCTGCACTCAAATCCAATTTCCATCCAATCTTGTCCGAAGAAATCTCGTTGGGTTGTTGATTAAGTTTAGATACCCAATTCCTAGCCCTAGCCACAACCACGCTATTAGGAATGTCTTTAAAACTATCAATGACAACCTCCTCTCCCCCTTCCATCTCAACTATGTCCGACCATCTACACTGGAGCAGGTTGAACACAGATGCAGCACCCTGTGAACCCATAGCTAAAATCTCCGATCGTAAACCCTCCATAGACACAACAAAAGATCTCACAAGAGGGTTGAGATTACCTTCACCCCACATGCTCACACTGTTAGGATTACTCGAAGATCCATCCTCGCTTCATCTATAGCCATAGAAGAAACCACTTATTGGAAAGTTGATACAAACAAATAAGTAAAAGGGAAAAATCGTTTAATCTTATGCTTAGTTTTTTAATCTCATACTCTTTTTTTTTTTATATTAGTTAGTGAAACAATTATCTAGAACATTACTATGCAAAATTGATAATGTTCTTAGTTTTACAAATTGGGAAAAAAAACTAATAATATTCTCAGTTTTACTAAATAGGATTTATTGGTGCAAAAAAAATCTTAAATAGGACCTGAGCGACCATAATATTTGTAAATAAGATTTTTAAGTAATTAACTCTATAAATAATTTAAATTTCAAAAAATGTTTAAGCTTTTAATTAACCTCCTAGTAGCATCCCTACCCTTGGCCAAGTCTGGATGCTCGGCCGTACATTCCTACGGCGTCCCCAAAACAACGTCGTTTTGGAGAAAATTTCAATTTAAACCCAAAAAAAAAAAAGACAGAATAAAAACCAGAGGGGAAGAAGAGGATCTGCTCTGTTTTCCTCATTCTCTATAAAAAAAAAAAAAAAAAAAAATCAAACCCACCCTAGCTCTTTACACAAACCCAAATCAACTTTGTCTCCCTCTCAACCACACGAACAACCCCACATCTCCTCTTATTCTCTTTACAAAAGCAAGATTTTCTGGGTTTTGTCCAGATTATCTCATTGACTATGATTTGGGTCTTTTCTAATCCTAAGGCTTGAATCGAAATAGCTATGAATATATTCATTTTTGTGATTCACTCATTAGAATACTGAAGAAAAATTAATCAAAAATAAAAAATTTCAGTTTTGTGATTCGTTCATTAGAATATTGGAGAAAAATTAAATAAAAAATCAAACTTGAAGAGTTTTTGCTTTGTAAAATTTTCACTTTCAGACACATGAATTGGCTTACATATATACATGCATGTATGTGTAGAGAGGAAGAGAAAAAAGAGAAGAGAGAAAGTTGCAGAGAGAGAGGACGGAGGGGGGTCGGATCGAAGCCTCAACGTTGAAGGAGAAAGAGATAGAGAGGGGCAATTGGGCGGCGATTGTGGTGGGTGAAAGCTAGCTCCCTCCCTTCTTCGCCCTTCTTCCTTCATTCTTCTCCTCCTCTGGTTTCTATTCTGTCTTCTTTTTTTTTTCAATTGAAATTTTCCCCAAAACAATCGTTTTGGGGGGCGCCACAAGAATGGCCGCAGGAATGAGCGGCCGAGGATCCGGACTAACCCCTGGCTACCACTATAGAATAGTAGTAGTTAGAAGATAGCCTCATCACCATTTATTAGTATTTATTTAATTATATCACCGTCATCATGAATTAAATAGCCAAACAACGACCAACATTCATTCATGTGGATTCACTAAATCTCCATCCACCAACCACCACAACGCGGTTTTACCCACTTCTTGGTTCATATCATTTCTTCATTAGGGGATCTGCATGCTTTGCCAGCTTGTAAAAAATTCCTAATCTATTAATCCTTTAGACAAAAAATATTATTATTATTTTTAAAGTATTTTTTAGTATTTCATATAACAAAAATAGAAATTAAATTTATTTAGGCAAAGAATATTTTCGAAACTAAAATTTTATCAATGTCACTCACTGCACTATAACTTTCTTTGTGCGTTTTGGTTAAAAGTTAATGGGAACTGTTATTCTTACTCCATTTTACCTCAAATACACTCCCTTATTTGTCTTTATTAATACGTAGTTACATTAGAACCCTTTTTACTTTTACACCCACACATAATTAGTAAAATAGTTCAATAATTGAGGTATATGTACAGAAGTAAAAAAGCGTACTAATGTAACCCTATATAATAAAGATAAAGAAAGAAATATATTTTTTGGAGGAAAGTGAAATGTGAATAACAGCTCCCAAATTAATTATAGATTAAAAAGTAAACCAAGAAAAAAAAGTAATATTAAAAAAAATTAAGGAGGAATTACAACTCTGTGTACCTTTTCAAAAAAAAAAAAAAAAATCAAATTAATGGTAAACTTTATAAATATTAACAATTAAATTTATAAACATTTCATTCATCATTTGCAAATATTTTGTAAATATCCCACTTATGTGTAAATTTTTCAAAAATTAATTCGTTTGTCACCACCATTGTTGCAATTGCTTCCACCAATTCCACCCCATCATCACTTCCACATTGCCGCCACTACCACTTCCAACTCCACAACATTTCCAATATCAACTCCATCACTGTCATCGTCACTATCACCACCATTTCCTCCTCCTCCACTACCAACAACACCACCATCACCCCATGACCAGCCTGCCACCACAACCACTAACACCACTACCATTAATATAACAACTAGTACTAATTAGTTTTAGGAACATAACTAAACAAGAAAACATTTTTTACGAACAATTTTCAAATGTTTTCGATTGAAAAATCTTTTATACTTTAAACAAATAGAGTGCTATATTCAATACACTTTCCGACGTATAATTATATTTTGAGATTTGTTACTATTATACGATTGAAAGTATATTAAATAAAATACTTAGAACCATCAAATTTTGTGACCCCCACAACCCCCAATTGATTGATGATCACTCATTATGATTTTTCCCCCCTCTCTCTCCTCCCTATCTTTCACAAATGTGTAGGGGTGTGGAGGTCCTGCGAGTTTGTAGTGGGGCTGGTATATTAAATACAGATAAACATAATATTTGAGTATTTGTGCGTTTGGCATGCCTAACTAGATTCCCAATGCAACCTCAATCTATTTACTTTTGAGTGCCACTGTAACACCCTCAAAATAATACATAAAACCCAATATTCTTAACATGCATAGGTATAAGAGAATATAACATCTTTCCATTCATCAGAGTAGTTAAGTACAAAAGTATTACATGTTGACAACAAAAGTAATGCCCTATGGGCTTACAACTTTCCAAGCCAACACTTGGTCACAAAAGAGAGTACTAACTCGAATGCACTTTAAGCCCTTGGCTTGAATTTACATGTAATACAACAAAAGAAAACAAAACAACAAAAGAGTCTTCAACTCCTAGAACCTCCCAAGCTATGTCCTTGGAGGTGGCATATCACCTGGACCTAAAAATGATGTCCCATATAGGGTGAGCCACAGCCCAACAGAGATATACTAAACCAAATATAAGCAATGACTAAAACAATAGCATTTGATATATGGTTAACACTTATAAACCAACTTACAACATAATCCAATTCCATGACATAAAGTCCATGTTCCATTTCATATTCCTTTACTTATAAATTTCAATTCATAATCCTGGCTCAGAACCTGGCCAAACAATTCAATGGGACCATATCCCATATTCAAACAGCTCCTTTATTCACAATTCATATGAAACTAAAGTTCATATTAAAACACTTCCGTACTTCGATAGATACACATAATTGCTGTATCAATACTTCGAATTTAATACACATATTTGCTGTATTAATGGAGTCCATCCCCTATCTCCTCCCAAACAGGTTTGAGAGTCCATCCCCTATATTCCCCCAAATCATGGAGTACATCCCATATCTCCTCCCACACAATACACATATTCCAAGTATATAAACAATTGTCATATACAGGGATCACTCAATACAGATATTTGATGTATTATTCCAACCGTCATATTCAATGACACATTCACTGTGATTAGTTTCAGTTTTCCCTAATCAACATACAGTGTCTACAACAATCAAGACTATCCTCCACCGATAGCCCAAAGCAGTTATTTCTAAACAGAAATTGAATGCATTAAATAGATATAATATTAACATTTACTTAGGTGAGTAATAAATTAGTCCAACTACACCATTCAATCCAATAATTTCCCAATTTCAAGGATTTCAACTCAAATCATATTTTTTCAAATTAATTATACCAATTAATTTATCACAATAATTAGGGCATTTTCCCCCTTTACCAAAAGTCAACCCTAAGGTTCAATTTTCTCAATTTGACACTAATAGTGCCATTTTCCAAGTCTTACATACATCTGGGTTTTAATATTTGAAAACCCCTTTTTATAAATTACACAACAACCCTAACTTTTCTCAAAATTACGCAACATCACCAACTAATCAAAATGACCAAAATTAAAGACAAAACTCATAAGATGGA